TAGTAATGTATACAGGAGAAGGGGTTACTAGCCCCGTGCTCCAGGCATTTTAGTCGCCTCTTATGACATGGATGGCTTACAGAGGGAGAATTCTGTTCCACTTCCCCATGGAGAATGATCTTATTTATAGGAATAAAATCTATGCATAGCTTTAAATTTAACTGCTTAAATTTATATTATTAATATCAGGAAGTAGCTTTCCCAGTTATTATTTCTGTATTACATTAATTAATGGGGAAGCACTACAATCACAGGGGATTATGAAGAAACTGGGAAACATAGTTGTGTTAAGGCTTGTGATAACCATTAAATTATAGCATAATTTGGTTTTGCAGTGGTTATAATTTTTTAAGCTTGTCACTGCATTGCTTCATTAAATATAAGTTTTGTCATTTAGGATGGCTGATGTGATGACAGATTTACAAAGTTCTAATGGTGTTGTCTCCTTGGGTATGGTTTAAATACTAAGATGTCTAAACCATAGCCTGTAATTGTTTTACATGATGGTAGGATTGCTGATGTCTTTTGTCTGTCTCATAAATATGCAGATTACAGGTACGTCTTGCTACTTCTACTTACACTTAGGTCACACCACACATACATGTACAAGCATATATATACACACCCCTCTGGGTTTTCTGCTATTTTCTTTCTGGTTCTTGTTTATTTCCTCTTATCTCCATGGGAAAGTGGAACAGAATTCTTCCTCGGTAAGCCATGCATGTTGTAAGAGGCGACTAAAATGCCAGAGGCAAGGGGCTAGTAACCTCTTCTGTTGTATAAATTACTAAATTTAAAAAGAGAAACTTTGGTTTTTCTTTTTGGGGCATCCTACCTTGGTGGGATACGGCCGGTTTGTTGAAAAAAAAAAAATATCTGAACCATACCCAAGTAAAAGCATACTCCCAAGTACTTTATACATTAACTCATTCATTCACACTATCTCACACTTTCTTTCTTTTTCACTTGCTCTTTAATAATTAAGGAACAAAACTTGCATATCAACAGATACCTTTGACATGGATCATAGGTTAACAATATTCATACAGCAAAAGTAATTTGGCTAAACCCAAAGGGTCATACAGCACTGGTAAAGAGTAGTAATGGTATGCAGTACTGACATACTGTCTTATTTATCAAGTACGTACTATATACAAAAACACGTGTGCTCTGTGGCAATGAGCACCCTGAAGTCAAGCTTGGGGGAGGTCAAAAGTAAGGTACATAACACAAGTTTCTCTGCAAACATAATACTTAAGTGTATTGTGTTTGTTGTGTCCCAGTCAAACTTCTCATTCTTTGTGAAGATCAATTCTAACATATTTTCCATTCTAGTAGGTTTTGTTATCTGCTTTTTCAGTGCACACTTTTAGTACCATGAGGCCTGGTCGTGGACCAGACTATGGGGGTAGTGACCCCCGGAACACCCTCCACATCTACCTGGTATGAAACTGTTCGGCCAGAGTGGTTCTGGCACAATTTTTGGTGTAAGGGTAGTGTTGATCCTCTTCCATTTTATATTTGGGAGCTTGGTCTCCAAGGAGGATAATATTGTGTAAGATTTTCAAGGCAGCTATCTTTTTTTCTTTTTTTTAACAAGTCAGCTGTCTCCCACCAAAGCAGGGTGACCCAAAAAGAAAGAAAATCCCCAAAAAGAAAATACTTTCATCATCATTCAACACTTTCACCTCACTTACACATAATCACTGTTTTTGCAGATGTGCTCAGAATACAACAGTTTAGAAGCATTTACGTATAATTTTACATAACATATCCTTTATCTGTCTGGTGAATTTCTCTGCTGTTATTGGTGGATTCAGTATGAAAATAAATACTGGTACCAGCTTTTTATTCATTGTAATTTCAAACATCTTATGTTGCTTGATTTGAATAGTTCATTGGATATATGGAAATTTTTTACATGTAAACCAACTCCTTCCTACAACCTTATAACTCTATCATAGCTATACAAATTATAACTTGTGATCCACGTTTTTCTAGGAAATAATTAGTGTGGGCTTCCAAGAAGGTTTCAATCATACCATTTGTTAATGTGAGTTGGCCATTACTGAACGTAAGTTTAGTTTTCATCTTCGTTTTTATGCCTTGTATATTTGTGTAGTTTTTCACTGATGATTGTTGAATTTAATGCTGGTATAATTGTTGGCCAGTCCTATATTCTTCCCACTTAGGTGGTATGTCTGTCCTTCCCAGTACAGCTCCATCTCTGGTTTTGCCTGAAGCCTCCAAAACAGTGGGCATCCTCTCTGAGATATGATACTTTGGGCATCAAACAGCATTACTTAATCTTTACTACTCTAATTACTTTTTACCTCACCTTGGTATTTGTGTCTGGGGATCTACAACAAATCACCCCCCCAATTTTTTTTTTAACAAACCGGCTGTATCCCACCAAGGCAGGGTGGCCCAAAAAAAAAACGTAAGTTTTCTCTTTTTAAATTTAGTAATTTATACAGAAGGGGTTACTAGCCCTTGCTTTGGTATTTTAGTGCCTCTTACAACACACATGGCTTACGGAGGAAGAATTCTGCTCCACTTCCCCATGAAGATAAGAGGAAATAAACAAGAACTAGAAAGAAAATAAAGAAAACCCAGAGGGGTGTGTGTATATATGCTTGTACATGCATGTGTAGTGTGGCTAAGTGTAATTAGAAGTAGCAAGATGGCCTGAAATCTTGCAGTTTATGAGACAGAAAAAAAGACACCAAACAATCCTACCATCATGTTTAAAAAAATTACAGGTTTCCATTTTACCCTACAAATACAAGAACATAAATACAGCCTCTCCTCACTTAATGACAGAGTACCATTCCTAAGACCGTGTCAGTAAATGAATTCGTTGCTAAGTGAGGAGCATACTATTTAAAGGTAGTGGGTTTTTTGTCAACCATCTTTGATATTGTTTTAATGTCAAACCTTTGCACCATTTATAACATTTTTGGTATGTTTTTAAAAGTTTTGCAGCAGTTGTACTGTATATTGTAATAAACAGAATAGAAGAAATCGGCTCTGATTATACATTATTTAGGTACGCATATTGGTCAGAGAGCCCTTCATAAGTCAGAGTAGTTGATAAACGAGTATGTCACTAAGCGAGGAGAGGCTTTATTTTAATTTTGAATTCACTGTATAAAACATACAATAATCTGAAGGCCATTAAAATGCATAGCATTATGGGCAAAACTTGGAATTAATGTACTTAAAATTTTTTGCTTCATTTTTTTTTTTTTTTTGAGGTCTAATGTACATGGTATCAATAGAAATTTAAAAATTAGTAAAAATTAATTATATTTTTTATTATTGTTATTTTATGAATTATCTAGTTTTAATAGAGCGAGTGGTATTAGTTAAATAAAAATACAAAACAATAAGATAACGTATAAGTTCAATGAGAATTATTCCTGCATTATTTTTATTATAATCATGGAGTGCTAAACCTGTAGAATTATACAGCACATGTAGGAGGGGGGGGGGGGGGCTGAAGGCATTCAGGCACAATTCACGGAACCAGAGCACAAATCCAATTCCTTAGATCAAGAACCCCTCACCAGCGTCAAGGAACCTCCCTTGAGGGGAATTATTCCTGCAGATATGGCTGTAAAAAGTAAAGACAAAGATAAAACTATACAAACTTGCCAGTACAAGAGCTGAAAGAAGCAATTGCAACATATTGTACAATATATGGGAGGAGTGAGAGAAGAAGATGAAACAAGAAGTAATGGGAGGGAATTAGATGAAAACATTTAGGTTTCAGGATTTGTTCGATACAGTATATTGTTGTCGAGAATTATGTACATCAAGGTAAGGAAATACTTTCTAAATAACAAAAAGGCACAATACCGTGACTGGAACAATACACAAATAACCCGCACATAAAAGAGAGAAGCTTACGACGACGTTTCGGTCCGACTTGGACCATTGACAAAGTCACACTAACAGAGGTGGAGCAGGACGGCTATATATAGGCAGGAAGAGGTGGTAGTAGTAGTAGTACAATTATTGTACTACTACTACTACTACTACTACCACCTCTTCCTGCCTATATATAGCCGTCCTGCTCCACCTCTGTTAGTGTGACTTTGTCAATGGTCCAAGTCGGACCAAAACGTCGTCGTAAGCTTCTCTCTTTTATGTGCGGGTTATTTTGTGAAATACTTTTTAACAAGTAGCTTTGAAGCATTTAGCAGATAGAGAACCTTTGGAATCTTCAGGAAGAGAAAATTTAATAATTTAGAGCTTTTTATGTGCATAAAGCTTTTGGTCAAATAGAGCCAAACATGTGGGAAGGAAAGGATATCAGAGATTTGTCTCTCTTGTATTATGCCTATGAGTTCTGTTGCAACTTTCCAGGGAACATTTCAGAGCAGGGTTTTTATTTGAAATGATTGTCCTGTATATATAAAATGTGCCTAAAGTCAGTAATAACTCAACAGAAAGCTGCTGTATGAACAATCACTCAAGCAAGTTCTAGATAATACCCCCACTCTTCATACAAAACATTCATACTATCATACATAATATATACAGGCATCATAAATATGCATGTGCGTAAGTATGCTTTCACCAAACTCCTTGCCTGACAGTTTCAAGAAGTGTCCAGACAATTTTTATATGGAAGATGTTGCCCCTTACCATACTGCCAAAGATGTACATGATTGGCTAAATGATTGCGAAATTCCATTCTTTAATGATTGACCTGGTAACTTTTCTGTATAGTGTATGTCCTTAAATGATTACTGATAAACCAGATATATTCATGGCTTGTAAATACATTCTTGTAGGCATTGTATATTTTGGAAAGGTTAAGCTGAAAAGATTCACTAGTACAAAAACAAGAAATGCAGTCTGATTCATTCTTTGTCTTTGTTTTCTCAAAAAGCCATATACTGTTTTAATTAAATTAAGTCTCAAAATAAGAAAACCAAATTAGGTTTAAAAGTAAAAATTCACATTTGTATACACCAGGTCAACAAAAACACTTTTTAAGAATTTGTATAATCTGTATTTTGAACTTGTGCATAACTCTGCACTATATGTAATGATGTACAAGCATCAATATACATGAACATATAATGTTAAGCCAAGTAAAATACGAGAAAAAACACAGATGGCACATATAGTTCATGTCATTATACTATACATGTACTGTTGATTATCAAAAAGAAGCACTAAACCTACAAGGGTCATACACTGCAACACTATACTGTACAATAAATATCAGAGGGCAAGAAAAACTAAAATTAAGTAAGTCGTTTGCTTTGACAAGAAACTTAAACCCTTCTCAAAATAAAATTCAATTTTTTGAGGCAGAACGATATCTTTGTTTTGTTCGAATTCTTGTCTTATTCGTCTCCGAAAGTACTCCTGATCAGTCAGCTCCAATGTTTTGCCATAGGTGAGCAGTGCCTTGTATAGCTGCAGAACTTGCTGACGTGTTGGACCTCCCATTGCTACAACCTGAAAAAGTAACTGATTATATTACTGTATAACCATAGAGAATTGCTAAAGCTGTAGAGGCCATACAGCACCTAAGGAATGAGATATAATCTGGTATGAATTAATTAGAAAATAACTAATTCCTTGCATAAAGAGCCCCTCAGAATTGAAACAATGGCCAGGAGGCCATTGAGTGCTCCTTTTATTCTTATTACATAGATAAGGATACTACTTTCATGTCTACATGGGCCAAACTACACAGCACACCCTGATCATAATACTGTACATAGACTCCAAAACAACTCCATCATTAAAGGCCTTCATTATCATGCAATCATCCTATCCATGACACCATAAATTTCCAAAGGACAGCTGAGCTTGAATGAACACTGGTTTAGGAGAGCTATGCTGGCGAAGGTACCACCCCAAGTGCTGGTGGTGGTGATGATAATAAATAATCTATTTCTACAAGTACATTATGGGTTTAATTCCTGGTTATGATTATTATATAACCTGCAAGTACATACATTATTCAACTATTACAGACCTAGCTGACATCACTGGCACACTATATAGAAAGCCCCTGGTTATGCAGAGTATTTCAGGCAAATCAGGTAAATCTTGTTCCCCAGGTTTGCAAACCGCAAAAGTTGTCAAACACCGAGGTACCTACTTTCAGGCGAACAGGGACTGGAGGTATAAGGAAACATGCCTAACATTTCACCTGCACCAGGACTGATCCCAGGCTGTGTGTGTGTGTGTGTGTGTGTGTGTGTGTGTGTGTGTGTGTGTGTGTGTGTTGTGTGTGTGTGTGTGTGTGTGTGTGTGTGTGTGTGTGTGTGAGAGAGAGAGAGAGAGAGAGAGAAACCTTGGGATGCTATCAACCAGCCCCATACTATCCCATGCCTGGGAACAGTGGATTGTTGGGTGGTACTTATCATGTCAGCAATGCTCACTCAGAAGATTGCTTCTTTCAAATAAATACCAGTGCTGATAAATCTTAAATGCTGCCTTGCACAGACAAATAAACAAGGACCTAGACACTCCTACCAACTGATATGTCATTAGACTTTAGCAAACTGGTTGCTAGCAGAATGTGTACACATGGCTGCCGATCAACCAACCATTGTCCACTTGGGTCACGTGGATTGCTTTTCATTCCCCACGTACTGTATGATTCCCCCCCCCCCTCAAGGGAGGTTCCTTGATGCTGGTGAGGGGCTCTTGATCTAGGGAATTGGATCTGTGCTCTGGTTCCCGAATTGAGCCTGAATACCTTCCACCCCTCCCCCCCACATGTGCTGTATAATCCTACAGGTTTAGTGCTCCCCATGATTATAATAATTACTGTATGACCCCATAAAGGTTTAGTGCTTAACCACAAATACTGTACAATAATACTGTAGTAATACTTCTAATAAGCCTCAACATTCAGGCAAGACTTAATTCTTTTTGATTTATAATAATAATCAGGCAAGACTTAAGCTAAAACAAATTTAATTAAATGTATAAAGACAAATCAACTGTCTGAATGAGCAGGACAAATTTTAGATCCATGATCAAAACACAAATTAATGTAAACTCGAGTAAATGCTGTTTGTTGCAAACTGAAGACATAATGCCAACAAGTAGTGACATACAATAACTGTAGTCAAGTTCCTCACTGGTACAACGTTTCATCCACGAGTAGGCTTTTTCTAGTACATGATGGTTGAGATGCAAGTGTTTTACCTATTAGTTTAACAATGTACCAATAAAGGACTTCACTGCAAACAGTAGTTAGAACCAAATGCTGTTTAATAAATTCTTCTTTTGATTATAATAATAATGTTTAATAAATTATTATTATTATTATAAGACTGACTGCTAAACCCATAGTTTACACAACACACAGGGCCATGGGAAGCAATTAGGTTTGATCCAAGGAATGTTATTTTCTTGAATAAAGATTATCTCAACAGCATCAAGGAGCCTTCCATAGTAAGTCAGTTTATTTAGGTACAGATACACACAAATAGTCATACAAATTATACATAGTAACATTGGGGTCCTTGAGGAGTTAGTGGTCCTCGTAATAACACAAGTTACTATACAACTGAGACAATTGACCCAGTAGTCGTTGCTGTTATACATATGCAGTTCGCAAGACTCTTGTTTCTTCTTCAACTATGTCTAAACCAATAAACTTATTCCGTCCTAGTTAACAGCTCCTGAAAGTGGCTGCACAAGCTTGAGTATATCTTATTGTTCAGCACCTCACTGTACGTCTTCTCTTCAGGATACCAGCAGTTTGCTTGGTCAGTCCTCCCGATGACAACACGAGTTGTTATATGGAGACAACGTAAGTGGAATTTTGTGTATTTTCTGGAGGCTGGGTTGTTGGGGGTGTTAAGGGGCCACCGAAACTTACGCCTTATTAAACACTCCTGGGAGACCGGGGAAAATTGGTTGCACTATTCTTGGGAATTATAATGAAAACTGTTTTGAAGAAACGGGATTAATAGGGTTCCAATTAGGTCAGTGGAACCCCAGTAAAGCCAGACGATCATGCATCCCCCACCTCAGTTAGCAACAGGTATTCCGTTAGCCCAGATGAAGCTGATATATGACACCCCGACCAATTGCCGACAAGTCTTGTGACTAATAAGTTTATTTACCTGGAGGAAATTCCGGGGATCAACGTCCCCGCGGCCCGGTCCACGACCAGGCCTCCCGGTGGATCAGGGCCTGATCAACGAGGCTGTTACTGCTGGCCGCACGTAATCCAACGTACGAACCACAGCCCGGCTGATCCGGCACCGTCTTTAGGTATCTAGGTACAGGTACACTTTAGTACATTTATCATACATAGTTTAACATGTGTAAATTACCTAGGATAATCTAATATAGATAAGATCTTTTACAAATTTTAACCCGGGGAAGGGTTAGCCCCTAGGATAACTCAAAAAAGTCAGTGCGTCATCGAGGACTGTCTTATTGCTGCACTATGATCCTTATAACAAATAACAATTTTATGTTAGCATGATACATATTGTACAAAGGATTATAACAATTTGGTGAACATGCCAAAAGCCCCTTTATATGCAGAGCATTTCGGGCGAACTTAAGGGTTGGTAATATCAGTGTTGTAATTGTACACATGATGGTCATTCGGTGAGTTACAGTGAATACAAGAAAGTTGAATATTCAACTAGTTCACGGTATATGGCTTTAATAAGTTAGGTAGAGAAGAATTTCAGTTTTGATATAGTATATAAACAACGCAGTATTACAATTTACCACAATTTAAAACAATGAAGTTGAAGTTGAGTACGCAGTATTACAATTTACCACAATTTAAAAAAAATGAAGTTGAAAATTTTAAGTTTGAAGTAATGATTAAATAGTTGAGCAATCATCAAGCACAATTTACAATAATGAAATTGTAACAATTTTAAGTTTGAAGTAAATGATCAAATAGTTGAGCAGTCATAAATTATTTACAAGTTTTTTTTTGAGTAATTTGTAGGTGGCTAAGTGATCCTACGGGTTTAGAGCTCCCCTTGATTATAATAATAATGTAGGTGTTAAGTACAGTGTTTGGTAATTTTAGGTGATGAGGTGATTTATAAGTTTGGCCTTAAATTGATTTGCAGGCAGCAGGGGGCCCTTTAGTGTGTTTAGTACTGAACTCCAATTCTTCGGACCCTTTATGTGCATAGCATTTTTGCATGGGGAGAGATGGACATGAGGGATATTGAAGAGTGATTTGTGCCTTGTGTTATGCCTGTGTATTCTGTTGTAGCTATCAAGGAGGAGTTTGAGAGGAGGGTTAATATTTGAGTATAATTGTGTAGTAGGCACAATAATAAATGTGGATGTTTTGTATATTAAGCAAGTTAAGCTCTTAAAAAAAGCGGTGAAGTATCCTGTCTAGTGCAGGAGTGGTAATCAATCGCACAGCAGCTTTTTGTTGGGTTATTAGAGGTTTAAGGCGATTTGCTGTGGTTGAGCCCCATGCACAAATACCATAGGTAAGGTAAGGGTAAATGAGAGAGTGGCAAAGAGCAAGAAGAGCCGTGTTGGGATACATAGTACCGTGTCTTTGAAAGGATGCCTACTGTTTTGGAGACTTTCTTGGATACTTGCTGTATGTGGGTCTGGAATTTGGAGACTGCAGTCAAGGCGGAGACCATGAAATTTTGCCGTGTGTGTGTGTTGAAATGGGTGAACCATTTATCAATATATTTAGCTGTACATTTGAAGCTCTGTTTCCAAATAACATGAAGTAGGTCTTGTCTATATTGAAAGTAAGTTTGTTGGTAGTCATCCAAATAGATATTTTTATTGGTTTGTCATTTACAGTGTTAATATAGTTGGGTTTTGGTGAGAGAAGGCATAAGTAGTGTCATCTGCAAACAAAACGGGTTTAAGGAGTTTAGATCTGTTTGGGAGGTCATTGATGTAAATGAGAAAGAGAAGTGGGCCACGGACACTACCCTGTGAGACTCCAACAAGAACAAGTTGTGTAGTGGAGTTGATGCTCTTTATACATACTGGTTTCTATTGCTAAGATAAGATTTTAAATAATCGAGTGTGTCCTCTGACTCCGTAATGTTCAAGTTTTAGATGCAATAGGTCATGGTCAACTGTATCAAATGCTTTTCATATGTATGAAAAATCCCAGTGGAATTTAATTTTTTTCGAGTGCCGAATATATTAGTTCAAGCATAGGTATAATTGCATCGTTAGTACTTTTTGTCGGTCTAAATCCAAACTGACAGGGGTTAAGTATGTTGTGGGATACTAAGTACAAGTAGACTTGTTTGTGAATTAATTTTTCGAAGATTTTAGATAGGGGCAAGTTTGATATAAGCCTATAGTTGTTCAGATAAATTGGATCACCTAGTTTGAGGATCGGGGTAAACCTTGCCGTCTTGAGTATGGCTGGGAAGGTGGAAGATTCAGTGGATTTGTTAGTTGCAATAATTGGTAACAACACGTGAGAATCTCTTTTATACATGAGTGGTGGTAAGTTATTTATGTCTTTTGTCTTATTCTTTATGTTCTGATGATGAGCGCTTCGTTTTGATTATAATAATGTCTGTATTTCCATTGTGGTTCTTTAATCTTGTCCCCCAGGATGCGACCCACCCCCCAGTCTACTAACACCCAGGTACTTAATGCTAGGTGAACAGGGACAGCAGGTATTCCCACCCGTGTCGGGAATCAAAACCACGGACACTCAATGTGTGAGGCGAGAACTTTGCCAGCCAAGCCGCAGGTAGGTTCACTTCTTTGAATCTAGATTCCATAACCGGCATTAAATAAAATTTCTTAAAGGGTCTCATCGAAAGTAGAAACAAACAAAAAAATATTGCCGATCGGTACACAACCCTCACATAGCAGAGAGAGAGAGAGAGAGAGATTACGACGACGTTTCGGTCCGACTTGGACCGGGTTATTTGTTTATTCTTTCAATCACGGTATTGTGTCTTTTTGTTCTTTGCGATCAGGTCGATGGCCCCTTCTTGTCTCAGCCCCGGGCAGAACGGAACCCTTTGAAAGGAGCCTGTAACCCGGGCTTCCCTCCTAAGCCATAGACCATACGGCGGTAAATGGAAACTGATGAATATTGAGTACCTGGCCTTTAAGTGCCCAGTGGGTAGAATAAGATTAGGACAAGGGGCAAAACAAAGGTCAGCCACCAACTCAACACTTATGGTATGGCAGGCGCATGTTGGAATATGCAACACTAGTAGAAACCTACGCCTAGTCAAGCAGCGCTGTATAGCCCTTGTGGCTTAGCGCTTCTTTTTTATTATAATAATACGCCTAGTCAAACATGAGAAAAAAACCGGAAAAAAGTGCAGGGTTTGCAACAAGACTAGTCCGGAGGTAACGAGCTATAAGAAGACTAAACAACTAAATCGATTGAATTAAAGGATAGAAGGACCAGGGAAGACATGATAAAGACGCACAAAATACTAAATAGGATGGACAGGTATAAGCTGTCAAGTGGCGGGAAACAGGAACATGAGGGCACAGCTGGAAGTTAACATCAGATGCATAACAGGTATGTTAGAAAATATTTGGTAAATATTGAGTTTATGGGTTCCAGTGAGTTTCGCGAAATATTTAAGGGAAAAGTGTGTAATACTGATTGGTTTGTTCAATAGAGATAATTATATTTTGTTCCAATTAAAAAAAAAAATTGCTTGAAGAAAAATTTATAAATGACCCTTATTTAACTATTGAAACCAACTTAACCAGTCCCAACCTAACGTAACCCAATGTACACTCAAGATACATTGCTCAGGTCATGGTATTACTGGAAATGTTTATCCTGGGCCAGCGAGTCGTGCGCTGATTGACCCGGGATAAAAATTGATCTAAAACTTATTACGTTTCAAATAAATTGCAAGAGTTAATTTTTTTTTTTTGCCGGACTATGGTTAGATTGCTTGTGTTATAGAAATGAAAAAGAATTAATTTGTTTTGAGTCCTTAATATTTCTTCAATCTCATGAGTTTTTTAGTTTAATATGTTTATTATGCACACCATCCCCCTCTGTGGCTGGTAGTCAAAAGACTTGGCAGACGATGCACCATCCCCCAATGAAAAGCAGGGGTGTCACTAGCACGTTTTAAAAGACCATACCCAAAAAGTGTCAGGGGCCCGAGACTGTTCAACTGCCTCCAGACACATTTAAAGGGGGGTTACCAAACAGACCCTGGCAGTCTTCAAGCTGGCACGGAAAAAGCACCTAAAGTCAGTTCCTGATCAGCCGGGCTGTAGCTCGTACGTTGGTTTGCGTGCAGCCAGGGAGCAACAGCCTGGTTGATCAGGCTCTGATCCACCCGGAGGCCTGGTCACAGACCGGGCCCCCGGGGGGGTTGACCCCGGGAAATCTCTCCAGGTAAAACTCCCGGTCTACATAATGGGGTCCAGGGACTGGACCCCAAAGTTATGATAGCTGAACAAGTTTCAAAGGTAAAAGAACTCCAGGTAGATCTGGTCACAATCTGGCAAGTTACAAAGGTAATGAAAATATTTACACTCCTATACATGGTTACAGTCATGAACAAATTACAAAGTAATGACCACTGAACGTTCAGAAGTGAGTCATAGACAACAATGTGGTAGAGGCAGGATCTTTACACACCATTATGGCTTAGCGCTTCTTTTTGATTATAATAATAATACACACCATTAAGAATAGAGACAATAGGACTCACAAAGCCAAGAGAAAAGGGGGGGGGGTTAGGAGCTGAGACTCGACTTTTGCACCCTACAATATGTGAGTACAACTGTTTGTGTTCCCTTCAGTGGAGGTGCCTTGATGCCAATGATTAAAGGGGAAATTTGGGAACTTTCTTCCTTTGGATCAAAACCCCATTACCTGATATTCCCCCAGGTGCTGTATAACCTCCTTGATTTAGCGCTGCCACCCTCTAAATATAAAAATAATACCTGAAGGTTTTTGAGGAATGCAAGATGGCACTTAAGCGCTAGCAAGTCTCTTTCAACGTATCACGACAAACTGGGTATCGTACTTCATGTTGAAAATGGCGTTGTGT